CAAACATGCTCGCCCTTTCAGCGGTGGGGGGGGGGGCGTTATAAACTGATGGTCAATCCTACTATTCATTGTTAAAAGAATAGCCTAACAGTTGGTGGTGGGTGATGTTGACTAGCTACCTTCCCTCTAGTCTATCACTGCTAAACTAGAGATGGCTAGTGCAGATAACACTCGAGTAGCTTTGCGCGAAATTAAAAAAAAAATATTCTTTCAAGTCAGTCGCAACTAAAGAATCACATTTGCTCCGTAAAATATTTTCAGTCTAACCTCCTGTTATTTATGGACTGCAATTTTTCAGAACGCGAAATCATTAAAACTGGTAGTACCACAGAGTCAAGTTTACTGTTGAAATTTTAGTCTGTCTGTTCAAAGTGTAAGAAAAACAAGTCATCATTATGTTTTGAAATAATTACTGATCATTTATCTAAGAATATTACAAATACCTAGTAGAGACTGCTATCTGCAAACAGATTTTACTTTTGGTTTCAGCGACCTGGCCTCCCAGTGGCACAGCGCTATGTCTGCGGACTTATAGCGCTAGAAACTGGGTTTCGATACTCGTGGTGGGCAGAGTACATATAGTCCTTTGTATAGCTTTGTGCTTAACTTCAAACAAATAATCGATCTGCTTTTAATAATTCCAAGATAATCATATGTTTGAGTAATTTCCTAATAATTAAGGTTTGTACGTTTGATAAATGACGGAAAAGGTTTTGGAATTGAATATTTGAAAAATTTTCTTTATTTTGGCAGTAAGTTAATACAAAGTAAAAAGAAAAAAATACATTTTTATACCAGCTGACACTTATAGTTATTTCTAGTAAATTTTTTCAGGTAATCTAATTTTTCCATGAGGTGTCTGTGAGTATAATATTTAACATTATAGTTATGTATTCTTTATCACGCACGTACGCAAGGGGGGAGGGGCTATTTTTGAGACGTAAAAAAAATATATACTCTCACTAAGTTCAAGTTCATGTGAACGTTCGGCTTCTGCTCCCCGCCGGTTGACTTGTTTGTGTGTAGTTTAAGCACAAAGCTACACAATGGGCTATCTGTGTTCTGCCCACCACGGGTATCGAAACCTGGTTTCTAGCGTTGTAAGTCTGCAGACATGTCGCTGTGCCACTGAGGGGCACCATCTGTTGAATAATTACCTGAGGTGTACACAAACCGAAGAAAGACTGGGTGCTCTAGCTTTAATACATAATCAATAAGACACTGCTATCAACATTGAAACTGTATCTAATTTATTTATGGTAAAGCACCCCAGAAGAATGGAACATACCAACAGGTTATTTCAGTAGTATATACATGTAGGTATATGATAACCAATTATTGAAATAGCCAATATACTGTTGTCGTAAAGAGTTCTTTAAATTAGTAATATAATTTAACCCTTAATAACTACTCTGCATGTAGATATTACAGTACTTTACTATAATAAAACATACATATTTATGTTAATTTATGCCTAGCTCCCCATGCAGTATTGCAACAGAATGATGATTTGTTGACTTTTCATTGGATGTTTGTAGGTTTTATTTGAACAGCCATGTTTTAAACTATATTTCATGCAAAGTTTCTTCCAGATTTAATCTCATAACACCTGTTTTTTACAGATTTTTTGAGGGGCATATCCCTAGACCCCCGTAGCTTTAGCATGTTCATTGTGCTTCGCACAGTATATGATGGCTTTTGATCTCACAAATCAGAAAACCTCTTTCAAACATTCTGCGTACGGCCTGTTTGTGACAGTAAAATGGAGACCTAAGGCTCACGTGCGATTTATGAACATAACCACAGCCTTTCTTGTTTTCAAAATGGTGAACTTTTTGCCGGGAAAAGACTGTCACTCTCTTTTCTGTTAATATTCTTAATGACTTGTTTATTTTCAGCAATAAATAAAACATTTGTATAGTAATTCAAACTTTTTCGTTACACTAAATAATAAAACAATTAAGTTAGAGCGCATGAGTTGGTTTGGTTGTTTTTTTCATTCAAAGCTTTTA